ATAAGTGTTGAATAGTGAACATCCATTCAATGCGATCATGAGTTCAATCAGTTTTGGTCAGTATTTGACGTGAATTTGAAAATCATTTCACGATTTAAATTCAATTTAATGCCTGAATATTGAAATTAAAACTAATTTTTGATTAATACTAAAGAATCGGTACTATTATTGGTTATAACGGGTATTGTTTGGGGTATTTCTACACCACTTCTCAAGAGATACAGTCAAGACATCGATGACGTCCAGCACTCAAATCCAATCATTCAATTCATACTACAATTAAAATCAATGTTCACTAATTGGAGGGTATTTTGCAATGAATTCATTTCTAATTAGCATTTAATGCCTTTTAATATCCCTTTAAATACCAGTATTTGCTGTCATTTGTGTTCAATCAAAGCGGTTCTGTATTGTATACAATTAGTCTGTCATACAATCCGATCACAATAGCTGTTCCCATCACTAATGCACTCAACTTTATCTTCGTTGTCATCTGCGGTCCCATTTTCGGCGAAACAACCCTCGACTTGAGTAATACCTTTTGTAAACATATATTTAAATATCGATTTAATTGAATGAATTCATTATAGGATCACTTTTGGGAGCATCTCTTGTAATGACAGGAATTGTTTTATGTCTTCTGAGTTAACAGTTGTATCACTTGTAATCACTTCATAATTTGTCATATTTTTAATACAACTGTTTTATAAAATATATTTCTACGAAATGTTATTCAATATAAATAAATTGTTTTATAAACTATTTATTTCCATAAATTCATTAATTCATAATTTTATTTAATGATAACTAAACCAAATTTGATGACAATATCATACTTTGAACGCATTTCGATTGACAGTTTAAAAGTCAACAAAATTTACATTTTAATACAAAGTCCACAAAATATTCATTTATTAAAAATATATAAAGAAATGATTAGAAAACCAATGAAACGATTCATAACAATGAAAAATATAATTTCTTGAGTTATTAAATATGAGTTACGGTAACACTATTTGATGAGATAATTGTTCGGAACACCCATTATATGTGTCATTCAAATACACTTTTCCTTTGGATAACTATAAAATCTATCGATCATTGCCTTCAGAATACTTCCGGGAACTCTTTGATTCTTGCGGATCAGATCCTCAATGGCCAGAGATGTCTAAACATATATTTATTATTGAATATAACATATTTATATCACTTTTGCAACATTTATAAATCAATTACCTTTTCGACCAACTCTTCGGGTGTTATGGAGGGGTCGTATGGAATGGGTTTCCCGATAATAGTTGTGAGTTTGACCGGAAATCCGCCATAAATGGGAACACATGGAAGTTTGATCCTCTCGTAGATTCGCCGTAAGAATGTTTGGCCCAAAGATAATGAACGAAACGCTTCCCTAATGTTTTGCGTAAAGACCGGAATGATAGGCACCTGTGCCTCGAGTGCCACTCTCGCGAACCCTGTCCTCTGGCCCCACATTAAGCGATACCTTTCGTCACCGAATTGGGCTTTTGGTCATTGAAAACAAACATACATTCAGTTTTGTTTTATTGTTTTAAACCACAATTATAGCCAAACCTTCCCGAACTCCTGTATGAATTGAATTAAATAGTTTAGTAATTTGTGGCAAACAAATACAGATTCAAAGACAACCTCCGGGTGCTATGGAGAGTAAGTCACCACCTTTTAGGACAGTCGTACACGTATTTATAGATCCCGGGAAGACTTGGAGGACTTCCATCATTAACTTCCAACCTATCAATCAATTAATTTCATTATAATTGAAACCAATTCTAAAAGAATGGAAAAAACCTGGAATTCTGAAGAGGAAGTGATCGCCAACCGCTCGGATCAGTCGATTCTTCGTGAGAAGACATTTGGCAGATAAGTAGTAGTAATCGATAGGTATTGCACCATGGTAATATACAATCAACTGTGAAATACATTTGTCAAAACAATTGACATTACAATTTGTAATTTACAACTGCAGGCAAACAATGGGTGATATATACTGACAGCGGGTCCGTCATCGGGAATGTTGTCCAAACCGATCACTTCATATCCGTGCCATACGTATCCGTGAGCCTCCCAGAGGACGGCCACCGCGTGAAGAGCTCCGTCCCAATAGTGCTTCCTTTCGATGGCGTCTTTGATTTT